ACCGCTCCCTCCACAGGGCTCCCTCCCCAGGGCTCCATCCCCACCGCTCCCTCCACAGGGCTCCCTCCCCAGGGCGCCATCCCCACGGCTCCCTCCCCACCGCTCCCTCCACAGGGCTCCCTCCCCAGGGCTCCATCCCCACCGCTCCCTCCACAGGGCTCCCTCCCCAGGGCTCCATCCCCACCGCTCCCTCCACACGGCTCCCTCCCCAGGGCGCCATCCCCACGGCTCCCTCCCCACCGCTCCCTCCACAGGGCTCCCTCCCCAGGGCTCCATCCCCACCGCTCCCTCCACAGGGCTCCCTCCCCAGGGCTCCATCCCCACCGCTCCCTCCACAGGGCTCCCTCCCCACGGCTCCCTCCCCCCCACCCTCTTCGCTGCCGCATGTCTGCACGCCGCTTCCCGTCCCGCCGTGGACGAGATGGCTCGCCTTGCCTCGCGCTTCCTTTGACAACAGGATGCCTTTGAGCGGCGGCGACGCGCTTCCGTTTGTTGTGGTTCGAGTGGCAGCGGTGAAACATGTCAGAGTCTCTCTCTGTGTGCTTGAGGAATCCGCTGAGCTATGAAGCTCTTTGTTTCACCGATGCCCAGTAGGGGTGGGTCAGATGTGGTCAGCGGCGGTGGAGTCCAGGCAAGTGGCCCGCCTACAAAGACAAAGATCCCCCGAATAGCCCGAACAGATTGTTGGGGAAAGTGCTGTTAGTAGCGAGTAGCACATATGGTCCTCCTACACTGTGGCCGCCACCTCCATCCGATTAAAAGCCGTCCCCTGGAAGTGGTCTTGGCCGAGGGCCTGGCGGATTTGAGGTGAGAGGGCTGGGACAGGCAAGGCTGAGTCGTCCGGTTTACTGCGGGCGATCATTCGTGATGGATGGGTTCCGTCCCAGTCACCGATGATAATTGTACGTCAAAAACACCATCATTGACATTTGTTTTGTACTCAATTTAGCTAAATTCTATTTCTGAGAATTAAAATAGCAGTGTGATTGTAACGCGACAAATATTATTCTCAAATGTGGAGCGCATGGGAAAGTGCTTCCCACTCCCCCCACTTTGTGGACCAGATGTGACCTCGAAAGATTTTAGAATTAGCTCTGCATTATCCACTTCCGAAGGTTGTTCCCTATAACACGACGGGGATTGTACTTCTCTGCGATTGGAATTGTTTTGTCTCATGGCGTGACGCCAATAGCGAAATCTGGATAGAATTGGAAGAAAAAAATATTGTTTCAAAGTTTTCCTCCTGTTAATCAGCAGCAGGCATGTCGGTTACAACGCCACGTGCTCTGGAGCCTGATACTAACACCCCCTCCCAGATCGAAATCCTCCAGAAAGGAAATCTCACATCACGTCGCAGGCGCAGCAGTGGCCGCATGCTTCCACTTGTTTCCACGCCACTCCACCTCCACCCCCAAGCTACGTATGTCGCAGAATTAAGACAAGAAACAGCAGCAGCAGCAGCAGCAGCTTTGAGAGGCCTTTCATCCAGCAGTGGAATGACCGTGGCCTACGACGACCACCTCTCCACCGTTAGCACCAAACGGAGAAATACTAACGTGGGAGTCACATGCAAGGCGGTTGCCACCGTACGGATGTGATGCACGTGGAACTTGTTTCGCGCCTCCGATGAGCGCGCGTGGCTCGCCGTACGGTGCGAACGACGGTACGACCTCCACCTCGACTGCCACGCCACTTTCTCCGGTCGGTGCACACAAAATGAGCGGTGGCCCATTGAAGACGCACAAGAAGATCTCTGTTGATGTACATCATGCATTGTCGTTGCTCTGGTTGTGGAAAGCCGACAATTGTTCTGGATCAGCTCTCGACGCGTTGGGCCCGATATGCGATCTCGGTGCAGGTCGTCGCGACTCGTGGAGGTGGGATGGAAATGTGTGTCCGGCACTTGCTCGCCACTGGAACAGCAGCGAGGCTCGCACGCAGTGCCAATCGCTCAGCGACGCTTGTTGAACCCAGGTGACGGCCAACTGAGACTCGGTTCTCGTGTTTTGAGTCCGTGCAAGGGAAACGTGACGGACGTTGTCAGCGATTCCTTGCCATCTCTAGCTGGCACGGGCAGGGTTAAGTTTAACCCGTGTATGTACGTATTGAACGTACGGTGAACTTCTTTCGCGCCGTACGTAGCCAACCGCGCTAATCGGAGGTGCGGAGGAAGGACAACAAACTAAACACAACAACAAGCAGTTCTAAAGAAACGAGTTTTCAATCAGTTTTCAATCAGCCATAAATCTGGCTGTCGCCTGATGAAGCTGGTTGTAATTACTGCGGAACGTCGTACTCAGATTGTAAATGTTGTGGCTTGGCTCTCCTACACACCGGTGTGCTGTTCTGTTTACGTGACAACCCTTACTAGTTGGCTGTGTCGGGTGGTGGCGGGTTTAACGACACACTCATATATTTACGCGATCTAACCCAAAAAAACACCTATATATACACTGCTCGCCAAAGCCTCCTACTACGTGTTGATTTGTTGTTGTTGTTTTTGCAGGAATCGTTTGCCATGTGCAAGTCGATGCTGTTATTCCTGTGCGCGTGCACCACGTTTGGCAAAGCGGCCGCGTGCCGCTCGTGAAACGAGTGTGCAGGAGGGCTCGTCAGGAGTGAAATCACCGCCCCAGATTTCCTCTTCCTGAACGCCTGCCGGGGGGGGGGGGGGGGTAAGGTGGCCTCGTCGTGCCAAGTCAAGGCCCCTTCTGAGATCACGACACGCCAAGAGAAACAAAGCTCTCGCTCAGCAGTGTGCGCATAGGAAATGGTTTCAACACGGGTTCGGTGCAACAACCCAGGCAGCAGCAGCAGCCTCCGATAAGATAGTTTCAGACTTGGCGAAGTTTTTTTTGTTTGACCCAGTTCAGGATTTAAGTTTGTATGTGTGTATGTGTTGAACCTCTTTCGCACCGTACGTAGCCAATCGTGCCAATCGGTGGTGCGGGGGAAGGACAACAAACCACGCACACGAAAAGCAGTTATCAAGAAACGAGTTTTTGGTGCATATTGAACGGCTTAAACCGACGGTATTGTAGTCATGTGAAGGCTGTTTGTAGACTTTGTGGTGGCGCTGTGCTACCAGTAATGCATGGGACCAACAGCGAGGGACAGAACAGCAACATCACGCACGGTACGCGTATATTTTAAACACATCAGCTGAGCACAGACTTAAAAAACCGGCAAGCAGCCAGCAACAAGCAACGCTGTCGACGTTGTAAGAGATAAGGCTGAACGTGTTTCTCGAATTGAGCAAAGTTAGAAGAGTTTTTTGGTGTTAAGAGACTGGAGCAATGGAAAGAAGCAGAAAGCAACGTTTGCAGCTTCGTTGGGGGGTTGAACGCAGAATGGTTCAGACGAAACTGTCAGATGTCAACATAAAAGTCGAACTTTTTCCCTTCGTAAGAATTTCTATTTCCATTACACCAATCCCCAATTCAGTCGAAGACACAATTCCCGGCTTACTACAATTGAATGTATGCATTCTTGCTGAACGTGGCAAAAATATATCGTTGTGGAGTCCTGGTTCATGACAAAGTGGGGAGATGTTGCACCGGTTGGATAACAAAGTAACACTGACGCCAGTCTAGCCCCTCGTCGCATGCTCCACGCAGGCATATCTCGTGAGCTTCCTCTGCTATCGTATGACAGTGAGTTTAGCATCATCATGATTTCACACATTGCACTTGTGGATTAGATAACACGCACAGGTAAATGATTACGCCGGTAAATTCAAACTGTTCGGAAGAGAGAATGTGTTTGGGACGTGCACGTGGCAGGAAGGAAGGATGGTGAAGAGTCTGAGATGTCCACCAAAGGGTGATGGAACAATTTATTCACCTCGATTTGAGGTGTTAAGATCAGAATCAGAGTATTTATACTGCAGTAGGAATCCGATGAGCTATGAAGCTCTTTTCACAGAGGAGCGGGTCAGAACGGTACAAGATGGTTTATTATTTTGCAGGATGATGATGAGACGTGGCGTCTCGGGGAGTCCTTCATACAGCAGTCACTTGATCGTGGCTGATGATTGCAATTTTAATTTCTATGGCATGCATCCTGCAATTTGAATGTTGTTGTTAGTAGTACTCTTCATTTGTTTATTTTGATGGTGCGATTGTATACTTTATCTGTTTGGTAAAAAAACAGCATTTGCCCCACCTCCCCCGACTCTTAATTCGATTATTTTGCTGCTATAATTTGTCACGTGATGGTCCACTTGGTTGAGCTATCATTTTTGATAGCCAGGTCGCTTCTGAAAAACAAGTTAAAACTTCAGTGCGCTTTGCCTGGTGGGATGGGGATGGTTGAGTTTTATTTGTGTGTGTTTGGGCGATTTGTTTACTTCCTTGCACTTGGCACTACTGCCGTGTCTTGTTGTTGTTGTATTGTTTGTTGTTGCAACGTTCTTAACCCGCCACGACTGGGACATCTATGCGAAGGAAACGAAAAGTTCTTGAGAGCTCATAGGATTCCTCCAGTATGAATACATATTCTCATACTGGTAGGAACCTCCTGGTTACACCAGCCCACAGGGGATTATTGTGTCCGTCCGTCCGTCGTGCAGGGAGGGGCTGGGTGGGGAGGGGCTGGTCACCCCGTGGTGCCCTAATGAAACTCAACGTTTAACCTACTCACGCCGGCTTGTGCCCGCCCTCACAGTCGGGCATATTTGCGGAATACACCACGCCGCCGTTGACCCTGGCCATTGACCGAGCAACCCAACGTTCCTACCAGCTCCCTCCGCAGGAACGTGTTTCTCTGCTCTATACCATTGAACCCTGTTTGCCTCGCTGGACGACTGAAACAATCAGCCCAGCCGACCTGGGAGGAGATTGTGGGACCCGAGAGGGGGGGAGGGAGGGGGGTGAATGGGGGGGCGATGGAAATCTCTGCGCGTCATGCGGAGAGGAAACTCGGCGTCACGCGGCAGCGCTCCTCGCCTACTCTGTGGCTCTGCGGGTCCCTCCTCTCTTCATGGAATACGAAGCGCGGGAGTTGCGCTCCTGGGCCGAGTAACGGCGTCGGGCAAACAGCGCGGGGTTACAGCACGTGTCGACAGCTGTCATCGTCAAACTCAACAGCCGTCAAACTCGACAGCTGTCATCGTCAAACTCGACAGCTCTCGTCAAACTCAACACTGTCAAACTTGACAACCATCGTCAAAGTCAAAAGCTGTTGTTGTCAAACTCAACAGCTCTCGTCAAAGTCGACAGCTGTTGTCAAACTCCGGGGAGGGGGGCGGGGGACCTCGTGCGGCCCCAGGTGCCGCCTCGGATCGAGCTCATCGCGGCTTCTTCTCCAGAGGGGTCGTTCACGTGAGTCGCACCATCACCGCAAGTGGTTAGACGCGTGGGGTTTTTGGTTTTGTTTGTGGCCCACGGCGAGGGATACGATGGGCAGACGTGGATATTGTCGTGGTAGCCACGGGCAACAGTGCATGAGGGATGTCAGCGAGGGTTTGTGTTGGAACATCAAATCGCTCGGACTCTTGCTGCGACGACCTGTGGCTTTGTTTGCGCGCGTAGGTGACGACTCGTATGTACGTTGAAACTTCTTTCGCACCGTACGTGGTCAACCGTGCCAATCGGAGGTGCACGTGTGTCACGCTCACGCTGAACACGCGTTCGCACGTGTAACCGTACCGACACACGCGCACACTCAGTTATGCTTTCATTCTTGTCAATCTACTGCTGGATGAGCCCCCCCCCCCCATGTCATGTGAGTCGTGGAAGTTAGTTGGCTAAACTTCACCATGCTGTGCACATTGGTAAAGGCTGGGGACATGGAAGTCGTAGCATTGTACGGTACAACTGTGAATGTTTCTGGACTGCCCCCTGCCTATAACCCGTCACACACGTACACACACATTCACGCCAAGCACACCAAGGCCGTAGCCATGGAGCCAACATTGGGGGGACCAAATCTTCCAGGGGGCTTGGGGTCCCCCCCCCCCAGAAAAAAATCAAAATTTGAAAACTAATTTCCTGCCATTTCCTGCCACATAGAATGAACTTTTTAATTGTCTTTTTACAATAATGTCTAATAGTCTATTGTATTACATTGCTGTTTTTTTTTACCTTTTCTTGTTTCATTGTATGTAATGACAGATATTAGGGATTAATAAAGTACAACCATAACCACAAAGATATAAACAGAAATCTATTTTATCGCAATATATTGTGGGGGGACATTTTGAGCACATTTGAATATTGGGGGGGATGTGTCCTCCCCAATATTTATTATAATTACGGCCTTGAAGCATACACACGCGGGTGCTCACTGACATAAACACGCGCTCTCAAACTCATGAAATATGCCCGCATACATACCACTGACATAAACATGTCTTACCGTTGAGAAGGGCATTCCAGAGTAGATGCGTTGCATGTTGAAGTGCTTCTATCGCTGTGATATTTGCCGCATAAAATCCCCACGCTCTTATTTTGCAATGGTGATCAGTGCATTTGGATGTATGCCACCAAGTCCAAAAAAGTTATTATTACAAATTATAACGTCTGCTTTAACGTGGAAAAAGAATGTCGGAAAACGTAAATTGGGTGATCTTTATGCCATTATCGTCTCCATGTCATTATCATCATCTCCGTCTGGGAAGTCTGGCCTGGAAAGGGCTGATTGTTTATCCTTCTACAGTGGACAAACGTCAGCTCTACAGTTTCACAAGGGCATGCACAAACAATAAAAACAACGATCACAAACCTGATGTTAAGGTTTGAAAATATCTAAATATTGTACATTTGTATCTCAGGACACATTTCAAGACGATGCTTTTGATAATGATGATGACTGCAGATGATCATGGTGGTGATGGTATCAGCTGTGACAGAGATCCGTGCCTCTACAATGCCAGCTTGGCTGACCGACTCTCAATTCCCGGTTCGAGCTTTACAACTCAATACAAGTCCACAGAGACCAGGAGATGCTTTATCAAAGGAGACCTGGGTTGAGCTGCCTTGCTCAACACAAACATTTTGCACCTTACTCTCGTAGCACAGCTCAGCTTTTAGAAACGCATGCTTACATTGTATGACGTTGAACTTCTTTCACAACGTATCCAACCGTACTAATCTACCGTCCTTGTTTTAATCACTATGTCCGAGTGGCGAAACATTACAATGCATGGATTGCAATCGGAAGATTGCAGGTTCAGATCACAGGTGGGGGACGATTCAGCCCTTCACCCCACCGGGGTTGATAAAATTAGTACCACTTCGCAGCAAAGGTCAACAGTTTATGGAGAGACTCGTGCCTACCAAAGGAATGTGGAATTTCCACCACTTACTTTAAACAGATGAGCTCCACCCAACGATAGATTGAAAGCACTAACCTGACACTGTTGCTAGCCACTTAGCGATTTCAATAAAAAAGCAATGAACACCAATGTGCATTAACTGCCAGGGAAAACCCAGAGATGGACTTTAGAACCGTAGTCCCAGGTCAAGTCAGTTGTGTGAGCCTATGCCTCAACATGGCACAGCAGCATCCACTCTCCAACAGTAGTCCCTGTCCATCCCTGAACCTCAACACGCTGAAGGAGACTAAACGCTTCAAAGCTTGAGCCACGAGTAGGCCTCGGCAAGGTAAGGTAAAAGTGTAAAAACAACGAGCCTACCTTTACCCTACCTTTTACCTTACCACAATACAATCACTCTACCCTACCTTTTACCCTTTAGCAGGTAAGGTAAAAGGTAAAAAGCAACGAGCTTACCTTTTACCCTACCCTTTACCCTTACCCCTTGGCATGTCGACACCTTTACCTTTACCCTTTTACCCGGTAAAAAGGGTACAATTACCTTACCTTGCCGAGGCCTAGCCACGAGCCACGGGGCCGTGTGCGTGCTGTCCTCAATGTTTCACTGCCCTCGCTCTCGTTCCACGCCGCATGCTTTGTCTAGTCGAGTCTGGGATGATTCTCCCGCTTGGGTTTTCCGTCTGCGTATTTTGCTGACGTTAAATGATGGATGCAACGGCGTTTTTTTTTTTCAAATTAAATTCAGAAAAATAAAAAAAAGGTGACCGTTTCGATTTAAAGCTTTCGTGACTGCAGGGATTCATGAATACATGCTTGCGTTGTGGCCGAAACGTAGTGAGAATTATTTTATTATTTCCATTCTACGTGACTTTACCGAAAGAAACAAGAAGAGGTGATCGTGTTTAGTTCCAGACGTCAACTTGAACATTCCTGAATTCGAATTCAGATATCTTGGGAGTTGTTGTTTAGACCTTTTTACGCCCCTATCCATGAAGTAACAAGCGTATGTTTAATCTGCCTCTGAAGTATTCATGAATGTAGCCTCATCCCCTACCCCAATGCTGGGAAGTTGGTCCACGCCTCTTCTTGTCTCTTCCCACAATGTTTTGCCGATCGTGCTATCAGCATGCTGTCACGAGGCGAATAATATGTTTTCGCTGAGCAGAGCAACCCATTATGTTAGAGAATGGTCCGTGGAAGTGGATAACACGGAGCCACAATTTCCCTTTCAGTGGCTTCTGGTCAACACAGTATGTATGTTGAACTTATTTCGCTAATTGGAAGTGCGGGGGAGAATGAGAACCAATTGAACATAAAAATACGCTCGAAAGAAATTTGTTTTCAAAGTAGAGGGAGGCACTTTCCCACTCGCTCTGCCAGTAAGATTCATGTTTTTGGCCACGTGAAAAGTCAAACAGATATTTTGATTCTGCGGGCTGGCATTTGACCAAATTAAGCGCACGAAAACAATATCACGGATTTTTTTTTGGTGTGTGTGCAATCATTCGTGACTCAACTGAGACCATCAACCCATGGGGCTGGAGAACATCAGAGGCTGCCACCTCGATTTGAGACCAGGACCTCAGCAATGCCACTTTCAGCGCTCTGACCTCTTGACATCCGAGCCATCTGGCGGCGACCTCGTTGATGTACACCTTTATTTAATCTAAAACCAGCCACTGAAATGCTCTTCTCACACTACTCGTGCTCACAATCGGTAATTGAGTCGATTTCTGCTTCATGTAGTCTCACTCCCCATTACTTAACTGACCTCCTGTCTCCTTACATCCGAGGTCTGTCACTCTATTCACAAGTTGCAGGGATTGGTCGGAAATGTGGACCTGCATTGTATTCAGTAAGACTGTATTGACTGATTCAATACCCCTTTTTAATTGCGCCTGAAGATGCATTTGTTTGAAAAGGTTTTTAACTTCATTTGAATACTCAACAAATAGCTGTCTTTTATTTGGCTCACTTTAATCTCTTAATTTGTTATGTTTTATAACACCTATATAAGCACTTTGAGAAGTACTTAACTTGAAAGGTGCTATAAAATATAGGTTGGGTAATGACGTATCGTCCTTTCTATTAAGCCGGATTAAACTCAAGATACATGCATCGAATACGTGTCCGAATACATTTTTAGATTGATGCATTTTCCAAACAATGGGTTCACGTGATCTCTATCGCCACTAGAGACCATAACTTTCACCACAATACAAAAAAGGATGCTTAAATTGAATCCTGATCTTGCATGGTGACGATTCACCGCATTGTCACGAGGGAGGTCAATCATTACACCCCTTCATCTTGCATATTGTAAAACCATTAGTGCATGTGCAGGTACGATAGCCTTAGCACATCATTGCGAGAAGCTGAATGGATGTCGTTTGGGATCCATGTCCCGTCTGGTCAGCCTGTCTCCACAGTGGCACTCCACCGGGCTTTCCATTCTCTCCTTGAACAAGGCGGTGGCCCCGTGCGGGCGCGCTCCCAACAGAGACGTGACGCTGCTCGTCGTGGGTGTGTGCGCAGCCCATGCTCTCGCTGTGGACCCACGCGGAGCCGGGCCCCGGCCCGCGCGCCCTCATGGAGGCTCTGACGGGCGGTCCGGACCAGGCGCTCGCGGGCCGCTATCGGGAGCGACTGTCGCGCGGCGAGAGGGCCCTGCTGGCGCGGTGTCACCGTGGGGGCGAGGAGGGCCCCTTCGGCACCGCCCCACCGGCGTGGCTGCTCTGCCAGTGGCCCGAAGAGCCGCAAGGATTCCGCGATTTCGCGATGGGCTGCCCCCCTCGGTGCCGGGCGCTGCACGGGACCCCCCGGCCCACGCTGCACCTGCAGCCTCTGGGTAAGGATGAGGCGGTGGGGGGGGGGGGGGGGTCCGTCACCCTCTGAGGTGGGATGAATCGTGAGACAAAGAATTTGTCACGTAGGAACTACAAAATAATAAGAATGGGTTTTACCCTTTCTGGCAATAAAACAAAGTGTCAAGATGTTCGTAGACCTTTTGCATAAATTATCAGAGCATGTTGGTTTGCATGTTTTGTCATAAGTACGTGTGGTTAATGCAGACTTGATGCCTTGCAAAAGGTTTATATTTGGTGTTTAAACATCTTTACACCTCCTGTTGTATTGCCAGAGAGGGTAAAAACGTATTCTTATTTTTTGTCTTCACAATTTTGGATGCTGACAAAAAGGTCGTAACGGGAGATCTACAAATCGCTCAATTGGGACAAGGGACAGCAATTATCAGCGTCCTGCCTGGGAGAGTAACGCTCACCTGCCGGCAGGTGCCGAGTCACCTGCTGCCACACAGGGACGGTTGTCGACAGGGGTGGCACCTCAAACGCTTGAGATGATGTGATGCAAGTCGCTCATCGCGTCTAGAAGTGCTCCGAGACACCGCAGATTGCAGGGTGGTGCATTGTCACCCATCCAACTACGACGGTTACTCGGGCCACAATGCAGAGAAATCACGGACACGTCACCAGTCCTTGCAGGATTAGTAAGGCAGTTTTTGACGTGATTAGTGTGCATTTGGTAAGGCATTTGCTTTAAGTAACCGTGTATTTTGTCAGCACAATGGAGTGCTTATATTTCATAGGCATTCAATGTTTTTTTCCTGCACGGTATCCATGCCGCAGCCTACGAATCTCCCTTGAAAGCATTGGGGTGGGGGCGGGGAGCGCACCGCACTGGTTGAGGAGACCCACGACGACGACAACAGATGATGATGATGATCACGACAACGATGATCACGACGACGACTCTCGCGCAGGTTTCACGGACACCGGCTGCGAGAAGTCGCGTGCCTTCATGGCGGCGGTGCGCGGCTACGCCGAGGCCTTCCTGCCGGGCTTTACGGTGCGCCTCAACGAGCCCCTCGACGTCGCCGAGAGCCGCAGCCTCTGCCGCCGCGACGCGCGAACGGGTCACTGGCAAATCCACGCCGGCAAGTCCGCACACGCCCACGTACACGGGCCCACACACAGTAAACTAAAACCATTTATTATTTTACCAGGTAAAGCCGCACTGAGCTATGTAGCTCTTTTTCAGAAGCGACCTGGCCACAAATGATAGCTCAACTAAGTGGCTTATCACGTGGAAATGTATATCAGCCAAATACTCTAAACCAGCGGTCGGGAACCTATGGCTCGCGAGCCATATATGGCTCTTCCAGTGACGGCATATGGCTCCCAGACAATTTTGAGTTGGAAAAATAATTTTTAAAAAATCCGTTTGGAACTGATTTTAAAATACTTGTGATATTACTTAATAATACTGTGTCATTTTAAAGTAAACAGAAATTAGTTTTGAAGATAAATTTCACGGGTCACGCCTGCACGAAGCTCAACCTCACCACGTATGAACCAGACTACAAGGCCATCAGCAAAACCATGCAGCACCAGAAGTCGCATTAAAAGTAAGACATATTTAATGTATTATACGTTAAAAATACTATATGGCTCTCAATGAAAGATATTTAGAAATATTTGGCTTTTATGGCTCTCCCAGTCAAAAAGGTTCTCGACCCCTGCTCTAAACGCACGTTTCTAAACGTGGAGGGGGAAAAAAACGGAGAGAATCCACGCGACCACGCGGAGAGAGACACGCAAACTCCAAATATACAGCAGGCGTCAAGGTCGGGATGAAACCCACGACCTCCTGTGTACCAGGCGAGGTAGTTAACATCTCGGCACCATGGCGCCAGGCTTGCCAACTCTGAAGGCCATGATCCACTCGGGCAATTATTGCCGACGATGCATTAACCATAAGGTGACTAAAGCGAACGCGGGTGAGCAACGGAATGGAGTGACAAGAATTATCTCGAGCCAATCAAAGTAAACCTCGATGAAAGGTTTTCTGAGCAATTAATATTTTATGGACTGGAAATTAACCTGTTTATTAGGCATGGGGTAGGCCTAGTGTTAGCCACTAGTTGATTAGGGATGGGGTAGGCATGGCACTGGTCACGAGTCATTCCTCGACGCAGTCCAGTCTTGCCAGTGAGCAGTAACGCACACACATAACCCAATGATGCAAGACGCAGGTTGGTGGACTGTGCCCAGATCACTGTGTGCATGAGATCATCTACTGACCGCCAAATAATTTAGTCTTTGCAAGACGGCGCTTGCCAATGTTTGTACACTGTTGGCGGTTTTTATCCCTTGGGTTTTCACAGTTATGTTGGTTTCCTCCCCACAAGTTAAACAGCCATCAACCCACTGTTCACCATCGTGGGGAACCACAAGCAGCACAAATAACTAGGACAAGAGACCACCTCATTAAAAAGTGAATACATTCTTCATTGCCCTAGCCTCCGGGCCTTGTTTAATAATTCACAAACTAACCAAACAAATTCAGGATCCTCCTGAAAATGATTGTATGCTGAACTTCCTTCGCAACCGCACGTAGCCAACCGCGCAAATCGGAGGCGCGGGAACTAATCGTAGGCGCTGCGTGAATGTGCTCGCAGGAGCGATACGAGCCGTTTATGGGCGCACCGTGTAAAGTGCATCTCGCCCCGCAGACGGGCTGCTGCACTACCTGAAGGGGCTGCGAGCTCCTGGCCGCTCCTGTCTCCTGGGGCTCACTCTCGCCGACCTGTACGCTGGGAACTCCGCCGACTTCGTCTTTGAGAAGTGCCTGCCCGCAGAAGGTGCCTGCAAGCCATGACCTAGACCAGGGACACGGGCCGTTCATTAACATTGGCATCAGTGCCGTATTTCTTTTGACACTGGTAATTAGTGCCGTGTTGTCCGTCATGGATCAGAGATGATAATAATAATAATGTCACGGCTCGAAAATAAGTCACCGGTATTTGAGTACAAGTGTCCGAGGCAGGTGCTGGTAAGACGGGATAAAGCGCTGCAGTCATGGGACACGTGCGCAGGCTGGGGGCAAGGCCAATTTCCGAGAAAAAAAAAATCGGAATGGTCTACCACGGGTCCCATGATTGAAGGTGAGGCCTATAGCTGGACGGTGAGATTCCGTTAGGGCAGATCTTGGGAGGATGCTCAGTAACCGAACAACAGTCTTGGGGTCTGACAGACGGTAGAAAATGCTGGCAAGGTGTGACGCCATCGCTGGCTTTGGCCATGATCACATTTTCATCTTGACCTCGATTGTCTAACATTGGCTTCACAGTGCCATAGTGTGCAACGTTGGCACCAGTGCCGTATTCTATAACGCCGGCACGTCGCGCCGTAGTCAGATTGTACGCGACAATGCGCCAATGTCTCCAACACCACCGCTCCACACTCACTCTCCTGACCACGGTGCAGGGGTCGCTGTGTGCAGCCTGGCGCGACTCGACCCGGACTTCGACAAGCGGCTGCGCAAGGCCGGTAATAAACAGCGGCCTCCTCCATGGCCGGGCCTCACCGTCATGCCCCGGCATGCCAAGGAGCTCCCCATGGGAGGCCCATGGTGGCAGCAGCAGCAGCAACAACGGAAGCAACAGGAAGGTGGAGAGCAGATCCATAATCAGAAGCACAATCAAGGGCGGCAGCAGCAACAGAATCAACAGCAGCAAGATCACCTGCTGCAGCAAGAACATCTGCAGCAGCTGGAGCGGCAGCAGCAGACAAATCCAGATCAACAACGCAATCAGCACGAGCAAGATTGCCACCAACAAGACCAATATGATTTGTCGCAGAAACAAAATCAACAGCTAGATGAACATGCTCAGCAACGGCAAGAACAGCAGCAGCCTCAAGATGAACTTGTGAATGAACATGAGCAACGATGCCACCACCAACAACAGCAGCAGCAGCTGCCACCTCCGGGAAGTGAACCCACAGCGCCGGATCGCGATGCCGATGCAAGCGATGGCCACAACGAGAAGGAGGAGGAGGAAGAGGAGGAGGCCTGGTGTCGGCCCAGGGGACCGCAGGGCCCGTGGGCGAACGCGAGCCTCGTGCGGTGCTACTCGCCCGCCGTGGTGGGACTTCTGCAGGCCCGTCTGGACCCTGCGCGGAGCGGCGACGGCGCTTGGTTCGCTGGCCTCTCCCTGCCCGCCACGCCGGGCGGTGACTTCCTCCTGCACTCGTGCAAGGTCAGTGATGCCTCCGATGCCTCCGATGAGGGCATCTCAGGACTCCGTCGTCACGACGAGTCCTGCTGTTGAACAATTGTAGGAGTTGATGTTGAGGATGGTGCATAGCATACTAGCTTTAAGGTTGGGCAAGCTAACCCAGCTCTGTGTTTAAGCCGAGTTACCTCTATCTAGATTGAAAACTCATTTCTTTCGAACTGCTTTTTGTGTTGAGATTGTTGTCCTTCCCCCGCACCTCCGATGAGCACGGTCGGCTACGTACGGAGGGTCAACATAGTACATAACACATAGGGAGAGGTCAGTCGCGAGCACACAATGTGATTGCGTCACTCCGTGTGGTTGGCATTTTGGGACAAATTTGTATCTAGACAACCCGTGACCTCGTTGAAAGGAGCATAGAGAAACTCAGCAGGGGGCCTGACACGGTTCGATGTGAAACAAACTTTCAACAAATGAGAAACACAGAAGTAGTAACCACACGATCTGCCTTTGTCTGCATTCTGTTCTGGCTCTCAAGCCCGATGTATAAGGATAGGCTGTGGGCGCCCATCGCTTAATTGTAAAAAGAAAAATACCAAATTTCGTGGACTTGGCTTTAGCAGTCGACTGAGTCGCCTCGAGTGCCCCTCCCCCCGGCAATGGGGTTGCATCTCGACGAAAATATGTTTTTGTCTGATTTTATGTGAATGTTGCAATGTCTTCAATAACACCAATGGCTTCAAATCACAAAAAATTATCCGCCTTAGTTGTTTCGTCAATACGAGAATGTGGCTATCAGAGTCCAAGTGTCTCCGTGGAGCGGTGCTAAATTCCTTTGGTTGGTGCCGAGCCAGTGATGGACATGACATGTTCCTATGGTAGGGAGGGAACACGGGAGGATGTAGATGAGAGGAGGGCTCACAGTAAATAGGAGCACAAGTGAAGTACCGTGCGACAAGTCCGCAGGATGATGAAATATTAACATTATTTCAAACTTTTAAGAAAAATAAGTGGGGCTTTGGCAAGACACGTCGCTTGATGGGATGGTGGTCAAGAGTAATGACGGAGTGGCAGCCAGGGAATGGAATGGGAAGGATGGTCGATGGCTTGGGGAGGCCTTCATCCATGGGCACACGGTGGCTGACGATGACGATGTAGTGTAGAAATTATTCAATAACAATAAAAAAATATTTAAAGATTTCGTGACTGCAGGGATTCATATTCTTGGTTCTTTCGGTAAAGTCACGTAGAAGGGAAATAATACATTAAAATATTGTTTTATATTTCTATTATTTTATTATTTCCCTTCTACGTGACTTTACCGAAAGAACCAAGAATAACAATAAAAATGATTGTTGTAAACACGATTAATTGGCAGCCATTTAACAATGGGGAGGGGGGGGGGGTATCTTGGACTCTAAAAAGGCAGGAAACTCCCCCGCAGTCGTGCACGTTCAGCGGTGATGTGGGACTGCGATGAGGTTGATGAAGTCATCATCAACCTCATCGCGGGGTCTGACGCCACTGGAAATCATTGCATTTACTCCTGCAAATGATTTGCGATTTTATAACTTGATTCCTCACAGTAGAATGCTTAAACGACATTTTTCGATTTAAAGCTTTCTTGACTGAAAGGGATCCATCTTCTTGGTTCTTTCGGTAAAGTCACGTAGAAGGGAAATAATAAAATAATAATGCCTTTCCGACAGCCTTGTTCTTCACCTGACGACGGCTGCTTGCGTTGTGGCCGAAACGTCGTGAGAATTTTTTTTTTATGTTTTATTGTTATTATTGTTATTATTGTTATTATTTCCCTTCTACGTGACTTTACCGAAAGATCTTAAACGAAATGTTTCGTTGCACTGCTTTAGCAGCGGTGCGCAAACACAAATAATAAAAGAAACTCGACAAGTTTGTCAATAACACTGCCCTCAAAGGAAATGTACATACAAATATACCATCGGCAACATTGATGAAGAAGTGCCATTTCCAGACATGCTGCCTCCCGTATCTTGTTTTTCTTCTATCTAGCGCAGTGTTATCGCCAAACGTGCTGAGTTTCAGTTTTAGACCGAGTAGTCCATTATTTCAATAGTCAACAGCTGCAGTTCACAATTTGTGCGCTCAGTCCACGGGCCAGAGTAGAAATCGGTACCACATGAGGTAGCAAAACCTCAGCAGCAACGATGTATTAATATGAATATTGCGAATGAAAGTGCATTATTTTATAACCCAACTCATTTGAAATGGCTATCACGCAACTCCCGGTTGTTGACTACATTAAGAAATTAGATGTTAACGACCTCGCCCGGTATATAGGAGTTTGTGGGTCCGATCCCAACTCTGCCGCCTCTATATGTCGAGTTTGCATGTTTATCTCCCCGTGGTCGCATCGATATTTTTTCTCGGGGTCCTCCAGTTTTTCACTCCACATTGAGAATGAACACGCGTTTAAAAGTATTTGACTGAATTTCGATTTAAAGCTTTCGTGACTGCAGGGATTCATCTTCTTGGTTCTTTCGGTAAAGTCACGTAGAAGGGAAGTAATAAAATAATAAAAATAAAACATAAAACAATTCTCACGACGTTTCGGCCACAACGCAAGCAGCCGTCCTCAGGTGAAAACCAGGTCCGTCGAGGCGACAGAGTCTGAATGAAACAGCACACGAGCTTGGAGCATATATATAAGCTGGGCGCATTGACAAAGGAATTTGCATATCAAAAGGAATTTAGCATATTTATGGGAAATGCAGGAATGTGATTAGTACTGCATATGCATGTGCATTATGCAGGATTAACAGCATCAAAGGGAGCTGCAGTTACTGCTGCTGCAGCAGTTGCTGCTGCTGCAGATGTGGTTCCAGACATACAGTACCCTGGCGTCTACAAACTAAGTTGCCTCTGTGGTAGCAGTTACATTGGAGAAACCAAACGACATGTCTCGGACCGCATCCGTGAACATAAGGCAGACCTGAAACACGGTAGGACAAACACCTCAGCCGTGGCAGATCACTGTTACAATTCAGTGGGCTCACATGACATTGACTTCTCCAAGACAGAGGTTCTCTGCAAGCCATCTGGCTATCATGAGAGATTCGTTCATGAGGCGATCCACATATACAAACACACAGACAATTTCAACCGAGAAGATGGATTCTGGCTTAGCAATCATTGGAAGGACGTAATAAACCATTTCGGATCTTAACTGATTGTGTTCACGTTTACGGTGACTTTCAGACCGCGTTCCACTCACTGGCATGGTGCAGTGTGCAGAGTAATGTATGGTGTCGTAATTGTACAGTAAACATATAGCAGTATGATACACATTAGGGTGGGTAGAATAATACATAGTGTTATATTAAAATGGATAAGGCAGCAACTGCAGCAGCAGCAGCAAGTGCAGCAGCAGCAACTGCTGCAGCAGCAGTAACTGCAGCTCCCTTTGATGCTGTTAATCCTGCACAATGCACATGCATATGCAGTACTAATCACATTCCTGCATTTCCCATAAATATGCTAAATTACTTTTGATATGCAAATTCCTTTGTCAATGCGCCCAGCTTATATATATGCTCCAAGCTCGTGTGCTGTTTCATTCAGACTGTCGCCTCGACGGACCTGGTTTTCACCTGAGGACGGCTGCTTGCGTTGTGGCCGAAACGTCGTGAGAATTGTTTTATTATGTTTTATTTTTATTATTTTATTACTTCCCTTCTACGTGACTTTACCGAAAGAACCAAGAAGAGTATTTGACTGCTATAAATGTCCACGTGACAAGCCACTTCGGTGAGCTATCATTTGTGGCCAGGTCGCTTCTGAAAAAAAAGAGCTCTGTAGCTCAGTGCGACCTTGCCAGGTGAAATGCGACTGTGGTCATCCAGAACAGACCATTAACAACATAAACCACGCAACACACAAACACAGAGGAGACACACCGCAGCGGTGCACTCCGCTGCTCCTGATGCGGCCGTCTGGCTCACCCACCTGAATGTGTAATCGTAGCCGTTGCTTTACATCGACATCAGGCACACGAAAGCAGAAGCCCAAGTATTTTTGTTTTTAATATGGAACCACTACAGTTAGGCCCACCTCAGGAGGATACCGACAAAGTGAAATATTCCGACCCGCGCTCATGGACTCCGTGGCCGGGCTACCACGCTGGTGCCCGCCCCCCGTGTCCCGCAGGCGGTGGTGCACGCCGCGTGCCACCTGCTCGGCGTGGCGCACTGCCGCTGGCTCGCGTGCGTCATGCAGGGCGCGCGCAGCGCGGCGGTGGCGCGCGCGCGCCCGCCGCACCTGTGCCCCGTGTGCCTGCACAAGCTGCACCACGTGGCCGCCTTCCGCCTCGCCCCGCGCTACCAGGTGAGGCAGGAGGGAGCTCGCAGGTGCCACTGGGGCGAGATGTGAACTACCTCGCTTGGTACGCAGGAGGTCGTGGGTTCGATCCCGAACCCCGACGCCTGCTGCTGCTGTATATTTGGAGTTTGCGTGTCTCTCACTCCCCGTGGTCGCGTGGAATTTCCTCGGGATCCTCCGGTTTTCCCCTGCACATTTAGAAACATGCGTTTAAGAGTGTTTGGCTGCGATAAATAAATAAGCTCGGTGGGCCTTGTCTCATGAGCCCAGTGGTGGAAATTCCACATTCCTATCAAGTGGGGTGGGGGGGGTTAAGAGTCTACTTTATAGGAAAACTACTGATGACTTCCCACAAAGTGGTACTCGTTTCGATCGACATCAGGGGACTGAAGCGATAGGTTACCCGTGGAGCAGGATTTTAAATCAGTTTAAGACGTAGGCTTTCGCGATCAATATTATCCATAAGGTTTTTTTTTTGGGTTAGATCGCGTAAATGTGTCATTAAACCCGCCACCACCCGACACAGCCAATTAATAAGGTGTGTCACTTAAACAAAGCAGGCAAAACAGTTACTAGTTCAGCACACCGGTGTGTTGGAGAGTAAACCCACATTTACAAATCGGAGTACGTCGTTTCGCCGGTAATTACAACTCGCATCATCAGGCGACAACTCGGAGAAATCCTCCCGTGAAGTCGTCACTTGTGAGGCAATCAGGTGCGAGGACCAGAGGGAGTGGGGTTAATGTATTCACATCAACGACAGTTGGCGTCCATTATCAGTTGGGTTTTAAATCGCAATCTCATTTGGATTTTTAAATCGCAATCTCATTACGAGCCAAGCGGTTTGCAAGTGCCACAGGATGAATATGTATTCACACACCTTCCTCCAACAGCACGAATAGGCAAAGCTACCGACCTATATCGAGTGGTCATGAACCAGCCAATGCTTGGTTGGTTTTGCTCAGCTTTCTATTCGTTTCATTGCTGTACTCGCTTGCCTGTGCTTCGTTATTTTGGTGACCCAGATCCCTCTTGCGAATGAGACTCATCCCGGTCTCATGAGTTGTCACCTGGTTAAATAAAATAAGCCTTCAACTTGAACATAGCAAGCAACGGTGTAATGGAGACTTTACAAAAAATATTTTTAAAAACAACCTTTTATCGATTGGATACAACTCACTCTCCTTCTCGCCCTCTCATCCTCTCAACCTCTCTTAAACCCTCCCAACCCGTCTCTCGCCCGTCGCCAAGTGTCTGCTGGATTGGGTTCGCAGCCAAACGACGCCGGACGACAACGAGGGGACGGGCGACTCAGACGACCTCACACCCCCACGAGCCTCTCACCCCGCCACGCGAGCCCAGCTGTGCGGCGACAACAGTGACAGCACCGGCCGGCAGCCCACCGAGAGGGCCGAGAGCACGGCCACAGCGGAGGAGAGACGCGGCACCCCGGCGAGCCACGAACACCGCACGGCCACAGCGGCCGAGGACGGCGCCCTGCGAGACGCGGGGGACACTGCGGCGATGGACGCCGCCGAGCGTGGCTCTCTCGTCTCGTTCGAGCGCTGGCTGCTCGCTTGCCTGGACCAGCTGCGAGGAGACGACGAAGCCGGGAACGGCGACGAGGAGAAGGAAGACGGCCAAGAGGCGGAGGGAGTCGACGAGACGCCGCCCGACTGGGACCGCGCGCTGGAGGAGCTGCGCGAGAGAACGCGGCAGAGTCGCGCGAGGCGCAGCGAGGCGGAGGCCAGGGCGAAGGAGGTGGACAGCGGCGGTGGCGGCGGGAGCCTCCGGGGGTTTCTCACCGCCCGGGTGTCCACGCTGAGGCGACAGCTCAAGGGCAACAGCAGCTTCCGTCAGATGGCGGAGGTGCGGAACATCGCGGAGAAGTCCTGCAAGAGCCTCAGGGCGAAGCTGAGCGTCAGCGAGAGAAAGACGCTGCAGGGCGCCCCCAGTCAGATCTCGGGAATTTCCAGGGACAGCTGCAGGAAGCCGGACCAGTAGAGCGATGTGCCAAACCTCCAGCGCTCTCCGTGCTTAGAACGCCATGAAAGGCGCCTGTCCGGGTGGTGCGAAACGTTCACTTCGATACGCATTCCTCGACCGATAATCGGTTCAATTACTACGCCTCGCCTAAAATAGTTTGGGGGGGGGGGGGGGAATTCTCAGCAACACACCAAGGATGGGAGCTGGACGGGGCTTGGCGATGTCATCGGCATCGGCCGCGTCATGCCTTGCGTGGCTTGTCGGCCTGGGGGGGGGGGGGGGGGGGGGGGGTCATAGCTGTCAAACCCATATGGTTTACTACCCCGTATTCTTGTACAGGGAGACGGAGAGGTCAGGTCCAATCGAGAGTTCAGGTCCATACGGCGCACAGACGTTTCAATACGGGCAATTTTTGTTGTTGTCTATTTGTTTGCATTTATTCCCTTGTGATGGGACTTTGTAGGATGAACGTGAGATTTCTAAGGACACGGGGTGACCAATAAGGTCTGAATTGGTCTGTAATAAGCTAGGGCACCGATAAGGGGTTGACAGGTACGGGGGTTTCCCACCTTCGTGAAGCGAGATTTTGAGGTGGTCGACACTTTTTTAAGGATGTCGAGTCATTGACCAGCACAAATGCAGCAAATTATTTATAACCGACTAATCAACTGAGTGGACAATGCGTCCCAGCTGTACTTTGAATACAAATTGCAGATTTTTTGTCTTTCTTTCTAAAACCAGCCCTTGTGACATCCCCCCACAAGCCCAGATTCGATCATTACCATTCGTCTTCATCCACCTGCTCATCATCGCCGCTGTGCTACACGCATCACCGCAGGGTTGGTAAGGGGCCATCCATGTCGTAGGCACGCAAAGATCTCTCAAAACTTGACCCCTTTCCCCCTCCATGTAGGCACGCGTACTTTTTACACTCCCCCCCCCCCCAATCCTATCGAACGGCCGATATTTAATCCACGCAGAAACGATCAAGGATGAATAATATTAACGTGTTCAAGCAAACAGATAGTCCACCGCCGGACTAACTCGTTTAAAGGCCAATGTAGACAAATAACACTGGTCAGTACATTTTTTCTGGCATAAGGTATTCCAACGGTTTTAATGTAATTTTGGGGTGCTCATTCCAAATCTGGCATCAATTTTTGTCTATCACATCAGGTTTTTGAGATATCAAATATTGCATTTTCAATAAAAACTGCAGAAGAAAAATATTAAATAAATGTGGATATCTACATAAATGATATTATAAACACACTATCCTAAAAATACAGCACCATATTTTAACACTAAAGCAGTCACTGACTCGCAACAAGTTGCAATCATAAATGACAGTTAATTTCGGGTAAAATCAATGAAAATGGGGTATGCCGATAGCATAAAAATGAGATGTGATAGAGCAAATCTGAGATCAGATTTGGAATCAGCACCCTGAAATTAGTCTAAAACAGTCCAGGCCAGAAAAAAAATGTTTTTTTTTGTTGACGAGTGTTATCAAAGCTTTACTCCCCCCCCCCCCCCCCCCCCCCCCCGTTTCCTAAGCGTACATTGTCAGTAGACCCCCCATACGCAAGCGTACGCATTTGGGTTAACCCCCCCTCCCCCCTCCGTGCGTACGGACTGAACGGATGACCCCTAATAGCAGGAAGCTGGACCCTGAGTGACAGCAACTGCGCGGGAGGACGGGAAGAAACGCGAGGTTCGGTGGGACTCCAGTCGGATTGAGGGCTCCCTCTTCTGGCCACGTCGTTAGCGCAGCCAGTGCTTGTGGTGTCGTCACGAACGCTGCGTTGTAACACGCCCCACTCGGACGGATCATTGCAACGGGTTTAGAGGTGCAGCACTGCCTCCCCTTCACAACTGCTGTTTCAGCATGTGCACGGTTGAGGTCTGTAAAATGATGAGCGGTCAGTCAATACGCGTAGCCTTTTTTTTTTTTACGAAACATGACAATACAATGTACTGTCATTTTTTTTCTTAAAGCCAATACATTGCGGTTTTGCCCTGGGGGAAAATCTGTGCCACGTTATGAATCCACATACATTTGATAGAATATTATCCACTTCTAGTTTGTGAATTGTGCCCAGACCAAAATCAGACAATTTATCGATAGACAATTTTCGTCAATGTGCAACAATTAAACGTGAGAAGGGGTATAATGGAAACGATGCCACTATTTGTCTATTTATCTGCATGAACACTGGAAATGCTAAATATTGTATATTGTACTTGCTGTTGCTTGATATAATTACGTACTATATACATACACAGGTGTTATAAATGTACACCTGCACTTGAGTTTTACGTAGTAAAACCTTGGGTACATTTACAACTAATCAATCTTAAGCGTATACAATACAATTTAAAGCTGGAATAAAAACCACGCACACACATGGATTGTGTAATGCCCTTGTCTAACATACCTGTCCTCTGAACGATTTTTACGAGCGGATGTTATGTTGCAAGCCACGCGAACTGACTTTACACGGTATGTGGAGTTGCGAGAGAGCGTCACACGTATTTGCGTCATCACGACATGGGCGGAAATGAAAAAGGCGCCGTCGGCGCCGGATTTGCGAATCCTTTCGACGCTGGTTTTGTCTCCACGTTTCGGGCTGGCCGGTTGTCTACCAGGCAAGGCCTTAAACAGGGACACGCCGATGCACTGGATCACGTGCACGAGCCATCGTGCCACCCCTTGTGCGGACAATGAAAACGCACCGACACTGCAACCTTTAAACTTGATACAAATTAAGTGAATCTTGACTTAAAGCTTTCGTGACTGCAGGAATTCATATTCTTTGGGTCTTTCGGTAAAGTCACGTAGATAGAAAAAATAACAATACAATAATACAAAAAATGACGTTTCGATCGCAATCGTCATCAGATTGAATGGCTTACCAAAAATCCATAAAGAAGGCACACCACTTCGTTCTATCGTCTCCATTGACTCACCCATCTACAAACTTGCCGGACTTCTGTCTGAGACCTTACAACCATTGACTGGTAAGACCACCTCAGCTGTACTTAACTCAGCTCACTTGGTATCGTTAATTAAGGACATCTCACTATCTCCAGGTGATTTGCTCGTTAGCATCGATGTAGTATATTTGCTTACCAAAGTTCCCGTGCCTGACACCATTGCAATCATTGAAGATTTGGTCCAACAAGAACTGAATGCCGATGTACCGGCCCTGGTTAGACACTGCTTCACCAACACTTACTTTACCTGGAATGGAATATTCTACAAACAAGTTGAAGGTACCCCAATGGGTTTTCCGTTATCTCCAGTTGTAGCCAATGTTTTCATAGAAAATTTTGAGACAGATCCCATGCAGGCATCTACTCTACGTCCGTCCTAGTGGAAGTACGTAGATGACACGTTTGTCATCTGGCCACATGGCCTACCAGCTCTGAACCAATTCCTCACCACATCAATTCCATACACCTAGCCATCAAATTCACCATGGAGGTGGAAAAGGATGGCAAGTTACCATTCTTGGATGTTTTAATAGAAAAGATACCAGATGGCTCAATGGGATACTGTCTACAGGAAAGCCACCCATACAGATGCCTACCTAAAACCTGCCACCACCATCCATCCCAGAAGAATTCCCTCATCAAAACTCTACACGAGAGTGCTCGATGTATTTCCGACCATCACCACCTAGCCAGTGAACTGGAGCACCGTACACCAAGCCCTCAAGATGAATGGATATTCAGACTACACAATCCGTAAAACTATCACCCCAACCGTTGGGAAAGAACCACCTGAGGACCCAATCAAAACCATCACCTTGCCATACATAGCAGGGGTCACCAAAATATTTCCAAAAACATGAGCAAACACAAGATCCAGGTTCGATTTAACACAGTACATAAAATTCGTCATCTGATCCCATCTGTGAAGGATGTGATCCCTGACATGCAATACCCCGGCGTCTACAAACTAAGCTGTGTCTGCGGCAGCAGTTACATTGGGGAAACTAAGCGACATGTCTCGGACCATGTTCGTGAACATAAGGCAGATCTAAAACACGGTAGGACCAATACCTCAGCCCCGTGGCTGATCATTGTTTTAATGCGGTGGGCTCACACGAAATTGATTTCTCCAAGACGAAGGTACTCTGCAAGCCCACTGGCTATCAGCAAAGATTCGTTCATGAAGCCATCCAGATATAGACAGACACAATTTCAACAGAGAAGATGGGTACAAACTTAGCAATCTTTGGAAGGCCGTTATATACCAGTTTAAGTTATAACTGGCTGTGATGTTTCCATCGTACCTTCCGATGTTAGCAGTTATTTTCGACTCTGATTTTACATTAACAGGTTAAATGCCTCACTTAACACAGCCGCCGTTGCTGGTGTCCTCGAGGTGGCGGCAGCTCTCCGATCTTCCACTGACAATGCAAATGTATAACTTTAAACATCACTAGCTCCGGCCACTTCTTTCATGACCCTTGGGCTACACCCATTTCAAACCTTTTTTTTTTCAGCAGCTTTCCCCCTCTTTTTTATCCTGATGTCGATTGCTTATGTTGCGATCGAAACGTCGTGATGTATTATTTTTTATTCACTTTTTTATTATTTTGTAATTTTTTCTATCTACGTGACTTTACCGAATACAAATGGAAGCAGTTTTGACTGGCTGCATGATATTGACGGAGCCAGCAACTTTGAATGAATAATGCTCAATGAAAATGGGCCTCTCGCCTTTTCCTCCCAAATCAAATCAGCATCCACACCGACCACCGCAGCCACCCTCTTGCATGTAAAGGAGCACAAACTACTTGATGCCGAGGGCTACTTTTTGCATCTTTATTGTACATTCCCTGTGTATGTACAGATTATGTTACAGGTTTACGCAAGGCAGAAGCGGGTATTAGGTTTGGCTTATTCCATCCTGACAGTGTGAAACTCTTCCATAATGTATTTTCCAAAAAAAGCCAGATGAACGTCCAAAACACTACAAAAATGGAAAGTAAAATTGTAATTTTAATACAAAAAGAACCTAAGCGTAATTCAATTTACACGTAATAATTTACCAAAATAGGAACATAAAATGTACAACAAAATGGTAAGAATGCACATTTAATATGTGGTACTTTTTAGTTTTATTA